GGGGGGGGGGGGGGGGGGCGAAATATTTGAGGTTGCCCGAATTTCTAATCCTTCTTATGCGATTTTTTTCCGAAAAAATATGCCTTCGGAGCTCCGAACTGACCACACGGATTGGTTCGACCAAGTCCACGAGCCTCCACCCACAGAAGAAACTCCCGGGGGCTGGGGTTAACCAACTAAAGTCCACGAGCCCCCACTCTGGTTGCGCCGTTGTAGATTAAATTTTTTCCAGAGAATTCTCTACTTCAACTTATCAGTTTAATGACTGAAGGGAGATAACCCGATTTAAGCTAAAAATAGATTCCATGTGCTTCCAGAACATTCTAGTGTAAAGATGGCGGACGTGAAGGCACAAGCAGAAGAAATCAAACAAAAAGGGAATGCTGCTTACAAGAAAAAGGATTTTGAAACAGCTTTGAAACATTATGATGAAGCCTTTGCCATTGATGGAACAAATATTACAATTCTGACGAACAAGGCTGCAGTTTTCTTTGAACAAGGTAAGAAATTTCAAATTCAAGTGAGGGCGAGGAAATGTTAAAATAATTTTGCGGTTTTTTTTCGTTTCTTTTCTTCGACATCAAGAATCTTCAACGACCAAATTGAACTTTTTTTTTGAGAATTTTGTTAGAAAATGTTAATCTGAAGAATAGAAGATAGAGCTGTCATATAGTTACTCACATCCGTGGGTAAAATCGATCTTTTTTCTGAGGGAGGGGGGGGGGGGGGGAGGGGGTCTCCCTAGAGTAGGGTACGCCCAGTACTGACTGCCAATATAAGCTAGCTTTTGACTACTATCTCACTTCACAATGAGCTTGAAATTGAATTGTTTCTCTTATTACCTAAATACTCATAATAATTATTTCATTTTTATGCCATTCATTTGTCTTTGAATGTCTTCGGGTCCATTGAAATATAAAGATTCACTAATTTTACATTTGAAATAGACACACATTTCCCTCCAAGTAATAACTTTTCCAAGACTCTCAGTAGTAATTTGTATTTGATATTTCAATTCATATGAAAATGATCCATTGCCAAAATTTAATTCAGATAGGAGTGTAGTCAGAGAGTAGTTTAGTCTTCGGATGTCTTTGATGCAATATACCAATATAACTAAGATTCAGTGATTTTACGCTTTAAATCGACACACTTCCCTTCCAGAAAATTCATGTGGAAATGACCTACTTTTCAAACTGAAAATTGTCTCATTTTTGATCAGGTGATGATTGATGTAAAATTGATGTAAAAAGTTTTTTTTCATATGACTTCGCCATCTAATCAATGGATGACATAATTTGCATTATGGACATCAAAAACGAGGCGTGATTGAGGTCTATTAAGCCATTTCTATTGCAAAAAAAAAAAAAAATGTGGTCCCCCTTCCATTTGACACTGAGAATAGAGTTTTACATCCTACTCCGTCTGTGTAAATATTTTCTGAACGAAATAGAGAAAAAATATAAAGAACAGGAACGTCTAGGTTATATCAACCCAGAAATAGCATTGGAGGAAAAGGCAATGAATGTTTCCAAAAGGGAGACTACCCAACTGTAGTGAAACGTTACACAGTACATAATTGGACTAATGAAGAAGTAGATTAGATATCCTACAGCTTGATTCCTTATCACTTTTCATTTCACTTTTTCATTTAGAATTTCTAAGCTGAGAGTTTTTAATTTATATTGTTCTTTGTGTATTTTTAGGAGAATATGATAAATGTATCGAAACTTGTGAGAAGGCTGTTGAGGTGGGACGTGAAAATCGTGCTGATTACGCCCTGTTGGCAAAAGCCTTGGCAAGAATCGGTAATTCCTATCTGAAAAAAGAGGACCTAAAGAACGCTCTGGTGTATTTCAATAAATCTTTATTAGAAAATAGAACTCAAGAAATTGTGAAGAAGGTGAACGAAATAGAGAAAAAATATAAAGAACAGGAACGTCTAGCTTATATCAACCCAGAAATAGCATTGGAGGAAAAGGCGAAGGGTAACGAATGTTTCCAAAAGGGAGACTACCCAACTGCTGTGAAACATTACACAGAGGCTTTAAAACGGAACCCAGACGACGCCAAGATTTACAGCAATCGTGCTGCCTGCTACACGAAATTAATGGAGTTCTCATTGGCTGTTAAAGATAGTGACGAATGTATCCGAATTGATCCGACGTTCGTCAAGGGATACTTACGAAAGGGAACCAGTTTGTTGGCTATGAAAGAAACGACCAAAGCTGCAGTGGCCTACCAGAAGGCCATGGAACTTGACCCAAATTGTCAAGAAGCTATCGATGGATATAGGAAAGCGACGATGGCGGAAAGCAGCGATCCAGAGAGCATCAAACGTAGAGCGATGAACGATCCTGAAGTACAGCAGATTTTGGGGGATCCCGCCATGCAGATGATCCTACAACAAATGAGCAAGGAGCCAGCAGCTGTCCGTGAACATTTAAAAAACCCTGAAATCGCTGCCAAAATTCAAAAACTTATGGAAATGGGAATAATAGCAATTCATTGATTTTTTTTTTTTTCAAAATTTCAAATTTCAGACTGTTTGTTATTTTCTTAAAAAATTGTATTTTAAGTGAAGTGATGTAATCGTCTATTTATTGCTGGAACAAATGATAGAATTTTCATGGTTTGTAATACTGGAATTTTATTGGTTTATACGAACATACTAAAAGCCCTAATGTTGACAGCCTCTCTGTTGAGGGCTGTGATTGGATGTATTCGTTTGTATATAATCCAATCAAATAGCTACCTTTTCTTTGATACAAGAAAGGTGACTATTTAAGTCGAGGTATAAGATGAAGTTTGTAATAACTTGACATTGTGAAGATGAGTAAATAACTTGACATTGTGAAGATGAGTAAATAGCTTGACATTGTGAAGATGAAGTTTGTAATAGCTTGACATTGTGAAGATGAAGTTTGTAATAGCTTGACATTGTGAAGATGAAATTTGTAATAGCTTGACATTATGAAGATGAAATTTGTAATAGCTTGACATTATGAAGATGAAGTTTGTAATAGCTTGACATTATGAAGATGAAGTTTGTAATAGCTTGACATTGTGAAGATGAAGTTGGTAATAGCTTGACATTGTGAATATGAAGTTGGTATTAGCTTGACATTGTGAAGATGAAGTTTGTAATAGCTTGATATTGTGAATATGAAGTTTGTAATAGCTTGACATTGTGAAGATGAAGTTCGTAATAGCTTGATATTGCGAAGATGAAATTTGTAATAGCTTGACATTATGAAGATGAAGTTTGTAATAGCTTGACATTGTGAAGAGGTAGTTTGTAATATATCTTTACATTGTGAAGATGAAGTTTGTAATAGCTTGACATTGTAAAGATGAAGTTCGTAATAGCTTGACATTGTGAAGATATAGTTTGTAATAGCTTGACATTGTGAAGATGTAGTTTGTAATAGTTTGACATTGTGAAGATGTAGTTTGTAATAGTTTGACATTGTGAAGATGTAGTTTGTAATAGAGTGACATTGTGAAGATGAAGTTTGTAATAGCTTGACATTGTGAAGATAAAGTTTGTAATAGCTGGACATTGTGAAGATGAAGTTTGTAATAGCTTGACATTGTGAAGATGAAGTTTGTAATAGCTTGACATTGTGAATATGAATTTTGTAATAGCTTGACATTGTAAGTATGAAGTTGGTAATAGCTTGACATTGTGAATATGAAGTTGGTAAAAGCTTGACACTCTGAAGATGTAAATTTCTATACAGAAGAGCTTAAAGGAAGTTCTAGTAAATAATTAGACGACTATGTCGCTTCAACCTTATTAGTCAAAATGAAGACATTTATTGTATTTATACGTCATTTCATGAATTTGATTTTTTGTAAGAATTATAGCCCATCTTGGGTTAATAACATTATTGTTACTTATACCTGAATTTTTACAGCAATCCTCTATTAAGAGAAATCTCTCTACTTTTCTAGCCAAGGTTTTTTTTGTTATTTCTGTGTAAAACAACTAAATAATTTGTTTGATAGGAAAGATAGTGAAAAGTTATCTAAAAGTAATCCAGATTACAGCCTCTTTGTGCACATATTCGATTATACATTACATCTAATTACAATTACAAATTGTGATACCCCAGGTCGGTTGCATTCTCCCAATTGTGAAAAAGGTGGTTATGAAACACTTGCTTTAAAGAGGATATAGCTTAAATGTTGCAAATTTCGCCAGCAGAAACAAACTTGTAAAACCAGGATTGATCCCTAGAGCAAAGTTACAAAAGCGCCCGTTATCTGGAAAATGAACTCCTAATCATACAATCACGATTGTTTACTGATGTAAAAATGCATGTGAGGAAGAGTCCATTAAAGTATTAAGGTAGGTGAAGGATGTATTAACACCTTGCAGAATCTGTGAAGACAATTGCTGTTAAAAATAACGAACCTATCTGAGTAAATTGATTATGTATGTTATTTTTTTTGTACCATATTATTTTGGTTATGTTTTGTATATATTGATATAAATATAAAATCAAGTGCTACTTTTTTATTATTTTATTGTCTCAGAATCAAACAGTCCGTCGTGATAGTTCCACTGGCGCTCTGCAACATAATTAAACGACCCACCACTGGTGCTCTGCAACAGAATCAAACAGTCCATCACTGGCGCTCTGCAACAGAATCAAACGGTTCATCACTGGCGCTCTGCAACAGAATCAAACGGTCCATCACTGGCGCTCTGTAACAGAATTAAACGGCCCACCACTGGCGCTCTGCAACAGAATCAAACGGTCCATCACTGGCGCTCTGCAACAGAATCAGACGGTTCACCACTGGTGCATTGCAACAGAATCAAACTGTCCACCACTGGCGCTCTGCAACAGATTCAAACGGTTCACCACTGGCGCTCTGCAACAGAATCTGACAGTCCACCACTGGTGCTCTGCAACAGAATCAAACGGTCCACCACTGGCGCTCTGCAACATAATCAAACGGTCCATCACTGGCGCTCTGCAACAGATTCAAGCGGAACACCGTAACAGTTTCACTGGCGCTCTGCAACAGAATCAAACGGTCCACCACTGGCGCTCTGCAACAGAATCAAACGGCCCACCGTGATAGTTCCAAGGGCGCTCTTCAACAGAATTAAACTGTCCACCTTGAATGTTCTAATGAATATGAGTGCTCTGCGTGTTATCTCGCAGTTTGAAATGAGATGAATTGAGTAAACGTCTTACTTTTCTGCACCATGATGTGCTAATGATGATGGGAAAGGCCATGCAGGGTGCAATGAGGGACATTTTTGCCAGGAAAACGGCATTGGCCTGCTGTTTTTCGATTTCCAACTGTCGATTTCCATGTCAGCCCCTCCTACCTGCATCACTGACAGGGGGAAACCGGGTAAAAAAAATCTGATTGTATTATCTCGACCTATGACGGGATTGATCCCCAGACATTCAGGTTAGAGAGCATTCGTCTAACTCACTGAGCCATGGGGCTCCCTGTGGTATGTTTAGAATAGGATTAGAGGTTTGACCTTGCTGCTCTCAGAATATACAGTCTCAGTGGTAATTCTGTTATCTTACTGATTCAAATGCCATAGTATTTTCGAAATTTAAACACCATACCATGGATAGATAGATATTTTATTGTACTGATCGCCATTTTTGGGAAGCATACATCATAATACAAAATAATACATTATAATAAGTGATACAAATATGACACACTGACATCAATTAATAGTTATACGAAAAAAATATAGTGTATACATAAACAAGTTAAAACATCATAACAAAATAATGCATCAACAAATACTGTGATGGACCACAGTTATTTAATATTTATAATTAGAGTTGTCTCTCTTTCAATAATTTGGAGTTATTTTTAGTCGATTGTTTACAAAGATAATGTCGATTTTTCTATGTTTTTTTTCTTCAGTTTTGGCATACCCACAGTCTTTTTATCTCACCCACTTACGACTCATGCAATTAAAGATCGTTACTGATTCCTGGTTTGTGTGGTGTTTGATTGGTTTAAGGCTATCTGCATACCTCGCAGAATAAATACACACCATTACATGTGTGGTGACAAGTTTAAGAAACAAAAATAAATATATATCAAATATACTAATTAAACATAAAGGATTCAAACACCAAGGGAATAAGCAATATATCGTCTACATATAATACATTTATTATCGTAATACAAAAATCTATTTATTTCTGGATTTTAGTGTGAAAAAAATAAATTTAGAAACACCTAGAGCCAAACTGTAAGTTAGCGGATCAAAAAGAACATGAAATGACAAAGGAATATTAAAATGTGAAATGGTAGAAGTGATATATTTTTCCCAAAGGGTATTGTATTTAGGTCGTTTCTGTTGTTGGTCAGGTCGATGGTTACCTCTTGATTGGTAGGTGTTGTGGGTAGGTCGGCGATGGGGTGGGATATAGCTGGATGGGTTGGTTGGTGGTCGGCGATTGGTAGGTGGTAGAGGTCGATGGAAGACAGGGCCGTTGTAGGGTACGTGATATTGGTTTGGTTGACGATTAGTGTTTCTATGTCTGGCTTCTTGCCAGTGGTTGTTGTAGTTGGGGAGCATAATGAAAATAACTTGAGTCTTTGTCGTTTGATTCGAATAATAAAAAAACATTTAGCGTTCTTTCTAATAAACATAGCATCCATTCTGTAAAAGGATTGGGAATGGTATATACAGTGACAGTTGTGATGTCTTCCTTTCGTGAAGAATTCTTGTTGAACAGCTTGACTCTTTTACGCTACGCAGTCGTCAAACAATATTAAGTTCTTTCGATTACTATCAATATTAGACAAATCCAGATCATTGACATTTTTCGTAAGAAACACGTTTATGTGGGTCGAATTGACAGATAGATTCTTTTTTTAAATGAAATTCTCTATGATATCTTTTGTTTCCACTTCTTCGTTAGCTTCATGATATTGAAAAACGTCTTAAACGTCTTTCTTTGGTAAATATTCTAAAGCTTTGAGGAATTGATAATATGATTGCTCTGGTGTTGTGTAGATATACAGATAATCGAAATTTAAAAGGTTTGGTGTTGTCAACATGTTAAAAGTAAGACGAGTTTTTCCACAAACCGAACTTCCGCAAATGCACATAAGCATTGGGTTACTAGGAAATATTTCTGAATGTCTGAATTTCTTTCTTATGTTTTATCTTATTTATTTATTCCAAAAATCACCCCGTCTCCTTCATACTATGAAAGAAAAATTCCCTCTCCAGAACCTTTCGATAACATTTCCATTGCCAAAATTATGTCTACGATCTTGAGCGTTTTTGGCAACAACTGCTTTCTTTGCGTTGACAGCCTTTGCTATCTCAGCAGCACCACCAGCAATCCCAGTTGCAGCGCCAATTCCAAGGTAGGAGAGGTAAAACTCCACCTTCTTTTGCGTTCGCTAGGGTTAGGGTTAGGGTTAGTCTATATCATCTCTGACTTTACAATATTTGTATTTATCAATAAGTTTTTTTTATATATGTTGTATTTTTACCATTGTATTTTATTACTGTTGGTGAATTTGTTTCTATACCTGCTATTATTTTCCTGAGTAAAGTTTCTGGCTTCATTTGTAAGGATGTTTTTTTATTCAATTCTTATCACTATTCTATTTGATATTTTAATTAAATGTTTTGCTTCTTCCAATTATAAACAGTAACCGGTTATATCTCCCTGTGTTTTTTCGATATGGATTCTTACATTTACTCCTGTTTTGAAAAGATCTTCTTGGTGAGCTGATAGATCAAAACAGAAGATTGGATGACTAAGTGCAAAATCTACAAATTCAAACTGAGGTGGATTTCCAAATAATTCACACATATTTTTATAGTTTCTATACAATTCATTATAATCCTTTGTCGATGGATTAATTGTTGGTTAAGATAATTATCGTTGTTTAATCTTACTTGAACTTTACGGATTACAAGATCTTGATTTTGGTTCAATGCCACCATAAAGATATTATTGTCTGGTAAGTTCCTTGAAACCAACCATTAAATATCTTGCTGGTTTAATAGTATTGGTGATTGGCCAAGTAGTGGATTCTCCAGCAAGTCATGCTACCTACCGTATTACGACGAAGAAAAGCTATTTCAATATCTTTAGTCATCATGTTGAATATTCTCGTTTCAACGTCGATTGAAGGAGTTATGACCGGTATATAAAGTTGGAGATTCTAATTTTGCATTTGAAGCATTCTCTCCAAAGAATATCTTATCATCGTTGATTTCTCTTTGTAGATGAATATTATATGGTAATCCTATGGAAACCTTTCTGTGTTCCAACAGACCGAATAAAATATATAACAAATTTACGTAATTACCCCAACTATTATTATTAACGGTATTGTTGTACTGAAGTACTCGTTTTTCGATGGTTATCAATGGTTAACTGCCCGTCCTACTTTCTATTGTGTTTCGAGCAATAAGTCTCTTTCTAGCTTCATCTGCATCATTTGCAACATTTCTTACCGGTTCTTTTTAACACTTCCGTCACCAACATCAGGTATCCATCCAGAAAATGAATCGAAGTGTTTTCAACATTGTATCAAATTCCCCAGGGTGTTTGATGGTTTCTGTGGGATTTTAGTCAGCTTCCATAACCATTTCGCTAAATAAAGACGAGAAGAAATTGTATCCTAACGTTGTGTGGGCTTGTGGAACTCGGCTCTGATTGGGAGTTTCGTCTTTGATTTTGAAATCGGATCTGAAATAAGCATTGGAAAGAAGCAACCAATTCGACGAAGAATTAATTTCGAAGGTAACTCTACCCCCATCATTCAGTTATGATTAAGAACCAACAGTTGGTGAGATCATTTTTATCTTGTTAAATGAATATTGAATTGGAACATTTAATTGAAAAATTTTGGATCTAGTCTGTATTTTTTATTTGCCATTTTTGAAGGTTAAAATTTGAATTAAAATTATCCTATAACTTTAAAACCTTTTCCTCATTTTTCTAAAGCACGTTGTTCTATTCTTCTGTTTCGCAGTTCTCTTATTTGATGTAATTATTTCAACTCTGTAGACTTTTTCACTGCATCATTTATTCTTACTCCTGCTTTCGCAATAGAACCTAGAGCTTGAGCTTCGGAGGAAATAAGTGATTTGTTGTTTGAAACAATGCTGGCTATTTTTGGAAGTTTGTACTGAGAAGAAAGCGACGCCTGAATGATATTATATTTGTGTTGTTCGTGTTTCAAAATGAAGGTCTGTTTTTATACGAGTTAATTTAGAAAGATTCTCAACAACGGTACTCAAAGCCGGATATTGTTACAATTATAGTCAATTCTACTAATTAGGCCGATTCCGTTTTTTATTTGTGCAATTCAAAGGAATGAATAGACTATTGTTCATTTACCTATTAACACTTGACTATTTAGTAAAGAATACATTTAATATGGTATTTGACTTTATATAAATAAACCAATCTTACTGTGGGGGATTTCATATATGATAGCAGATATGTGGTTTTTGTTTCATATTATTATGGATTTAGGCATAATAGCGTGTAAGATGAATTATGTTAAACTATCTATTGAAATCTCCTTTTTGTGCTATTGAAATCTCCTTTGTATGCTATTGAAATCTCCTTTGTATGCTATGAAATCTCCTTTGTAAGCTATGAAATCTCCTTTGTATGCTATTGAAATCTCCTTTTTGTGCTATTGAAATCTCCTTTGTATGCTATAGAATCTCATGTGTATGCTATTGAAATCTCCTTTGTAAACTATTGTAATCTCCTTTGTATGCTATGGAATCTCCTTTGTATGCTATTGAAATCCCCTTTGTATGCTATTGGAATCTCCTTTGTATTCTATTGAAATCTCCTTTTTATGTTAATGAAATCTCCTTTGTATGCTATTGTAATCTCCTTTGTATGCTATGGAATCTCCTTTGTATGCTATGGGGGTTCCTTTGTATGCTATGAAATCTCCCGTGTATGCTATGGAATCTCCTGTGTATGCTATTGAAATCTCCTTTGTATGCTATGGAATCTCCTTTGTATGTTTTTAAAATCTCCTTTGTGTGCTATTGAAATCTCCTTTGTATGCTATTGGAATCTCCTTTGTATTCTATTGAAATCTCCTTTGTATGTTATTGAAATCTCCTTTGTATGCTATTGTAATCTCCTTTGTATGCTATGGAATCTCCTTTGTATGCTATGAAATCTCCTGTGTATGCTATGGGATCTCCTTTGTATGTTTTTAAAATCTCCTTTGTGTGATATTGAAATCTCCTTTGTATGTTATTGAAATCTTCTTTGCATAATATGAAATCTCCTTTGCTTGCTATGAAATTTCCTTTGTATGTTTTCGGAATCTCCTTTGTATGTTTTTGGAATCTCCTTTGTATGTTTTTAAAATCTCCTTAGTATGCTTTTGAAATCTCCTTTGTATGCTATTGAAATCTTCTTTGCATACTATGGAATCTCCTTTGTATGCAATGGAATCTCCAGTGGTTACGCCAGTTCCTCGGAACTGGGGTACAAAAAGAGTTCAGACTGACTAAATGGGATGACAACTGTCGGGTTTAAGATTCAAAAAGCGATAACACTGTGGAGATATAAATATATATATAATAATTATTTGCTAACGTACCATATAATGAAATAACTACATTTACAAATTTCTGTAATACAAGAATAGTGGTCATAGTAGTCAAGGTATAAGACGCTGGTCGTAAAAGATAGTTCACCACAGCCTTTTAAGTCATAAAGAATATATTTGTGGTCTGGGTTATCTATATCTACAAATGAAAGAAAACAATAACAATACGAAACACAGTAGTACATTATCCTTTCTAAAAATATGGACAGATAATCAAAGCAGAAAAGAAGACTCCTAGAAGTTATATAGTCAAGATGGAGGAAGGAAATACAATGAGAAGAAATAGACGGGACTTATTGAAAACGGCTGAGACTTTTTCATTTGATAATTTTGATATGCAAACTGATCAAAGTGACACTGATTGTTTAGATATAGACTTTGATTCAGATAAACAAAGTGACAATCTTAAAGTAAATAGCCGTGGTCGAATTTTAAGAAAACCTAATAGGTTGAAGGACTATTATGAATATTGAACTTTCAAAGTTAATTATTTCTCTGTGTCTCTTAGCATGTGATTTCATGTTTGGTTAGCCTCTGATTGACTCATAGTTGTAGCCTCTGATTGACTCATAGTTGTAGCCTCTGATTGACTCATAGTTGTAGCCTCTGTAATTGTTGCCTCTGTAGTTGTCTCCTGTTTCTCAAAATCCTCTCCTCCACAGGCTTAACGATTTGTGAGTTTCAGCATCTGCAGTAATATCTGTTTAGTTTTTGGGCATCCATTCAAATCGGTTGACTCCTAGAAGCATTTCCTTTTGATACTTCTGTACCCCCTCCTCTCCCCATCCCCTTTTTGATACTTCTTTTCCCCCTCCTCTCCCCTTCCTCTTTTTGATACTTCTTTCCTCCTCCTCCTCTCCTCTTCCCCTTTTTGATACTTCTGTACCACCTCCTCTCCACTTCCTCTTTTTGAAACTTCTGTACCACCTCCTCTCCACTTCCCATTTTTGATACGTCTGTACCCCCTCCTCTCCACTTCCTCTTTTTGATACTTCTGTACCACCTCCTCTCCACTTCCCATTTTTGATACTTCTGTACCACCTCCTCTCCACTTCCTCTTTTTGATACTTCTGTACCACCTCCTCTCCACTTACCCTTTTTGATACTTCTGTACCACCTCCTCTCCACTTCCTCTTTTTGATACTTCTGTACCACCTCCTCTCCACTTCCTCTTTTTGATACTTAAAACGACAACTTATCCTGTAAATGTATAAGAACACTGCTCTATCAGACTATTCCAGGGTTTGGAGGGGTAGAGCAATGCTTATATTTACAAAAAGTGTTAAAAACATTAATAACACGACAACAATGCATTATAATTTATTGTCATTAAAACAATAGAAATACATGTAAACTAAATAAACTTCATTGACAAAGATCTTTTACAACAAGAACATCCCGAATTTCATCAAACGTGTCAACAAATCTAGCTTTAGAATGGTCGGAAGCAATTTCTCTCAGCTCAGCCTTATCGACACCAGGCCCAATTCCTATTGTAAAGATATTAATCCCCTTTGCTTTTGCAGCATTCGCAGCAATCTGAGAACTTCCAATCGATTTTCCACCAGATAGGAGTATCATAACCTTCGGGGTTCCACTTCGGGATCCTCTCGAAAAATCATCGACAGCTTTAGAAATACCAAGTGCGAAATTAGCAGAGCCACCTCGTTGCATCAGAGCACGGATATCTGTTAGCAATTGATTGGGGTCACTTGAACGCAAAATTATATCCGCTTGATCTGAAGAAAAAGCCACAACACCAACATTAACTTCCATCGGGCTAACTACGAAACTTGATGATATGAAATCTGCTATTCCGTTTTTCATTTTGGAGAAATTGTCAGGATCAGCTGATGATGATTGGTCCACAACAAAAATTACATCTAGTGGTGTATTTCCACAAGGTTTCGCTGAAATAGAAGTAGAATATAATGATAAGTCTGGCTTTGTTAAACCTGGAGTGTAAATGAGAAAACTGAACAATATATGTATCTAGAGAATATTTAACAATATATAAAGTCCAGATAGAGTATCGATAGAAATTGCTATCAAGTCGAGAATATATTTTTGAAACTTGCAAATGGAAATAATAATATGAATAATTTTTCTCATCCAATGATGATTTTATACTTTAAGTTAAAGTGACAGATTCGCCCCCTTGAGTCTTGAATATATGAAATCTTGAGATGTACAATAATCTCTAAAATAATATCTCAAACTAGGAATTTCACTTTCTATTTCTATATTATAGTCTCAAGAAATGACAGTCGTCGATTTGATGGCTAAACTTTCGATACTTGCAGCGTTAAAACTTTCAGATCAGCTAATGGACACGTTTATCAAATTTTCACATATTTTCCCACACATTCACTAGTTCAATAGTCAAGATTTGAGATGATATTGATAATTGTTGGCTCACGTAGTGTATAGGTAGTTTATTCAATGACAAAGATGCTGCATACTTACGTTTACAGATTAGTATATCACTTTCCCACTGTCCTGATTCCTGACACTGGATAGAAGTTTGACCACTTGCTCGTTCATATCCCAACATACAACTGTAGGAGACAAAGTGGGGATATGTGGTATCAAGATTATTTTCATTAAACCCTGATGAAATACCATGTGGAGGAGGTCCACAATCTTTAGCTGAAAAAAGACAATTGAAGTAAGCAATAGTTGTAAAGTCATAGTCTGAGAAAAAAAGGGGAGGGGGGGGGGGGGGGCAGCCACCTACCGAAGATATGTTTTTCGGGCAAAAATCTCATAACTAGGTTAGAAATGTGGGCAACATTGCTCCGCTAATAATATGTAAACTTCCTGTATTGTGCTTTAAATGTGTTGGATCCTTTAATATTTTTCCTGCTGAAGTCCCTTGGACCAGTATGTTATTCTAAGCTTAAAGGTAACTTTTAATTTTTTGAGTTCTTCTTAAAAAGTATTCTTCTGTATAGAAGTACATGATGGCTTTTAATAGTGTGGCTATATATAGTAACAGTGCCATTGGCCACAGCATAGACTCTCCACTAGCTAATATCAATAGAAAGAAACCAACTAGTACCCCACTGTCCAGGATAATATCAAACTATTCACTAAATAAAAAAAACTCTGTGAAAAAACTAATTGATGCTTCGTTTAGAGATAAACTTTCGATAGAGCAAACCGGTGGCGGAATTGTAATTACATAGAATGCTGGCTACTATGCAGAATTCAGAAGAATCTGTGTTGAATACTTCCATAACACAGACCATAAGATAGAATCTCGCAAAAGTTTGACAAGGACAAAAATTCTGAATCGGATTCTTTGAAAATTATTTCGAAGGAGTCTAAATTCACTCTCAATCTTTACCACACAACATCAAAAACTTTGGTGAATGGAAAAAACTGTAAAGATTTTGTCGAGTTTCATCTGCATAACATAATTGCTGCATCTTCATTCAACACCAAAACAAAACAATACAGAAGATAATAGCCTAAAACTTTTTTTTAGAAATCAGTGATGATGAGGAGTCTCACAACCTAGAGCGTCAGGATTCCTACACAACAATTACTTCATCAGAAACCAGTATAGAGGAACGCCAAAATCAAGATATCAAAAGCAAATGCCATCTTTTGCCTCAATACTGAAAAACAGATTTACTAAACAAATCAGAACATCCCCCGATTTAGAAGTAACCAAACTTAAACTGACCATAAACAATCTTGAAGCTGAAATCATTAAATTGCATGAAATGATAACCGAGAAGAATTGTGCTCGCAAAACCTTAAAGGTGAATATGACAACCTATTCAAAACACACCAACAAATGCTATCAAAAAACCAAAACCTTCAAGCTCAAAATAAAGATATGTCAGAATGCCAGACAAAACAGAGTACAGAATTGATACATGCTTTAGATCAACCTACTATCACTAAACAAAACTTTTTAAGTGTGAAAACTGAAAACAATAACCTTAAAGAGACAACAGAAAACCAGATCCAAACAATCAAGACATTAAGAATGGAAAATCAGAAACCTCCAACTTAACCAAATACTACCAATTGTGTCATAGCAATTCAACCTGCGGTATTGCCAAAACAGATCCAGAAAACTGAAAACAATTACCTTAAAAAGATAACAGAAAACTGAAAACAATTACCTTAAAAAGATAACAGAAAACTGAAAACAATTACCTTAAAAAGACAACAGAAAACTGAAAACAATTACCTTAAAAAGATAACAGAAAACTGAAAACAATTACCTTAAAAAAACAACAGAAAACCAGCTCCAAACAATCAAGACATTAAGAATGGAAAATCAGAAACATCGCTCAACATCATTGCAAATGAAACAGAGGCAGGAACCACGAGAAAAGCTGAAATCAGAGCCAAAACCGCTTTAACATTAACTGATAAGAAAGTTTCTATCATTGGTTCATCTTCATTAAAAAATATAATTCCTAATCGTTTCGATCCTACCAATACAGAAATCAGGACAATACGTGGCGGCAAAGTCAAGGATGCTGTGACATTTATGTCTAGATGTTCTCCCTCCCAGAAAAGGTCAACTATAATTTTTTTAATCGGCTCTAACGACGCCACAGATGATAGTGTTAATTTTGATATTGTGTCCCATGACTACGAAAACTTAATTTCAACAACAAGAAAAAATTTTCCAAATTATGTGTTAAAATTCCTAGAAGTGTTGCCTAGGTCAAATAGCAAAGAAAATCTGATGAAATTGAATATCAATTTAAAACGTGTAAGTGAAACTGAACATTGTGATTTTATTAGTACCAACCAATTCTTTTCAGGTTTATATGGAATTAAGCACTATTTATACAGTGATGGAATTCACTTACATTTGAAAGGTACAGTACAATTGGTTAAAACTATCAAACATTCTTAAAATATCCCCCCACGTGTAAACAGAATACATGGAAATTCTTTCACCAAGCCATTAATGAGTATATTACCAGACACAAGATATCCCCCTCCTAATTACTTTACACCCCTATCATTTTTCAGACGTTCACTTGACCGTAAAACAACTTACCCCATGCATTTTTACCCTCCATATTGGCCAATTAAGGAATATATCATTTGGACTGTCGCTTTATTTGTTTAACACCCAACTGTTTTATGTTATTTTATGGATTTATACTCTCCTTATTTTTTTGTTATTCTTGATATTTGGAATGTCATTGTTTTCATGTTAAATCCAACACATTTTCTGTATATTTTTTACAGGTTTTTCACAATTATTTGAAGTTATACACTATGGTAATTAATGTCGGATTTTGGAATATAAATGGATTCGAATCAAAAATTACAAATCACAAGAATGATTTGTCTATTGCCATTAAGCATCTTGATATTGTATGTTTTGTTGAGACCTGGATACCCCGGGACAAATGTGATTTATATACTAAAGATCTCCCTGGGTATACAGGTAAATTTTTCTCCAGAAAAGATAGCAGTTGCAGCCTGAAATCTAGGGGTGGTTCTGCTATCTTTTTTAAATCTAAATATAAAGACGGCATTGAAATCACCAAGGACAATGATGGGGACATTGTCTGGTTCAAACTCAAGAAATCCGCTTTCAATCTTGAAAAAGATCTATTTATATGTTCGGTGTATATTCCACCTCAAAATTCTTGTATCTGGAATAAAAAACAAAATGATCCATTTGATAAACTCGGAAAAGATATATCCAATATAGTTCAATAGGCAATGTTTTACTCGGAGGTGATTTCAATGCCAGAACTTCCAATCTAAATGACATATTAGTATCCGACACCGAATCATCTTCTCATTTTGATAAACCTTTCCCTCGGGTGTTACAACATGTCCCTGAAAACAAATTTCTTGCCACGAGGAACAATCAGGATAAGAAGAACAACACCTGGGGAAAAGAACTTATGCAATTATGTAATAGTGCCAATATTTGTATTCTGAATGGTAGATGTATTGGGGACATGTTGGGGGCTAATACATGTATCAATACACAAGGTTCTAGCACAGTAGATTATGTCTTAACCAACCTCTCTCATTTTCGTTACGTGCGACATCTACAGATATCTCCTCTCAGCTACTTATCTGATCATTGTCTGTTGTCCTGTACGTTACTGATTCCTAACATTGATGGTAGATAATAATATTGTTCAAATACAACAAGGTCGTAATAATAATAACTTCCAATCTAAATGATATATAATAATAATAATAATAATAATAATAATAATAATAATAAAAAGAATATATCACCGTTTAGTATGAGCAACATGAAATTTATTTGGAAACCCGAATCATTGATAATCTTTCTGGAAAAACTCAAACACTTAAAAAACAAAACCGAATTTCGCGATTTTTTATCAAAGCCGATGAGAAATGACTCTGAAGGCATCCCAGCAGCAACAAATTGTATAACCAATTTTTATTGTAGATACTGCTAAATCTCGTCTTAAACTTGCCAAAAATAATAATTCAAGCAAAGAGGAAAACAAATTGTTTAATAAAGATTGCTCTCGTCTAAAAAGAGATATGATCAATGCTCTGCATGTTTTCAATCAAAAACTATCAAAAGTTCATTCTAAACCTATTTATTTCAAGCGTAAAAAAGAATATAAGAAAATAACAAAAAATAAAATGAGACAATCCAAAAATAATATCTTAAATAAACTAGATTGATTACAATCCAATAATCCAAGAGAATATTGGAAGCTGGTAAATTCCTTAATAAAAAACGACTCAGATTCGGTCGATGTCAACATTCCTCTAAATAAATGGCAAAGTCACTTCAAAAAACTATTTGAGGTGAGTAAAGTAACATCAAAATTAGACAATAAAATCGATAAAAAAATTGAAAGTTTGAATTCCAAAGTAATGCCAAATATGGAATTAAATAAAGAGATAAGTTATCAAGAAATACAAACAGCCTTTAAATGCCTGAGGAAGAACAAATCACCCGGTCAACATACGATTTTAAATGAAATGCTGATGAGTTCTATAGATACTTTGAAAGACCACTATCACAAATTATTTAATCTGATCCTTACAACCGGTATATTTCCGTCATCATGGTCAGAATCTCTCCTAATGCCCATTTACAAAAAAGGTCAAAAAAATGACACAAATAATTATCGCGGTATTGCTTTAAGCAGTTGTTTATCAAAGGTTCTCTTATCAATAATAAATAAAAGAATAACGAACTATTTTGGAACTAAATGATATGATCGATACAGCCCAGCATGGATTTCGAAAAAATCGCAGAACCGTTGACAATATTTTTATTCTAAAAACAATTATTAATAAATACAAAAGTAAAAACCAGCCCCTTTACATATTTTTCGTTGATTTCTCTAAAGCGTTTGACAATGTGTGGAGGAAAGGACTTATATATAAACTTTTAAAACACGATATATCTGGAAATATTTTAGACTTGATGTCCTCTATCTATTCTAAAAACAAATCTGGAGTAACTGATTATATCCACTCCATTGCAGGTATTAAACAGGGTTGTGTTTTAAGCCCAACTCTATTCAATGTATACATCAACGATCTCCAAAAGTATTTCAAAAAATCAAATTCCAGCTTTCCTCTTTGAGATCATTTACCTATGTCTCATTTATCCTTTGCTGATGACCTTATTTTATTCTCCCGAACACCAACTGGTCTTCACAACTCAATAAATCAACTTGAAAAATTTTGCACAGACTGGAAGTTCAACCTTAATCTAGATAAATCCAAAATTATGATTTTCAATGCTGTTAAAAGATCACGGGTCAGTTTTTCTTTGCACAGTAATTCAATCGAAATAGTCTCCTCTTATACTTATTTAGGCCTTTGTATATCAAACAATTCGACTTTTAAATGCGCTATAACCGAGCTAAGTAAAAAAGCCAGGCGAGCTTGGTTTAGTGTAAGACAAAAAATAAGTACCACTGATCATCTTCCAACCTCTACTCTTTTAAAACTATATAACAGCATTGTCAAACAAATAGCACTGTATGCATCTGATGTTTGGGGTCTGCAGGTGGTAGTTCATAGTAAAAAGATCATGTTTAACAATTGGGACAAATCAGATCATAATACAATCGCTATACGTACAGCTAAGTCCATACTAAGTGTACCTAAAAAGGCCTCAAACATTGGATGTCTATCAGAATTATCAATATTTCCCTTACAATTAGATATTTACCACAGAATGATTATGTATTTCACAAGATTTCTTGATAACTCCACTCTTCAAAATAACCCCTTATTAAATGCAGCTTTTAATGAGGATTTGAACTTGGCTTCAAGTCAACCAAAATTTTCTTGGACAAATGCTGTCTTCACCCTCCTTAATAACTTTAACATTGACCCCATAAATTTCTCACCTAAACAAATTAAACTCACATTGCAAAATTCTTGTCATTCTTTAATTTATCATGACTCAATCAACAGCCCCCACAATAAATTGAGAACATACGGTTCTGTCAAACCCTTTATTTCTACTCCAACTCACTATCTAAAGCATATCAAAAATCCCAAATGCAAAACCGCATTGACCACATTGAGACTAAGTACTCATCAATTAGAAATTGAGAGAGGTTGGTACAGACAAATTCCTGTTGATAAACGAATATGGCAACAATGTGATTTATCCTTGGTTGAAGATGAATACCATTTCCTCCTGATATGTCCTAAATACAATACCCTAAGAGAAAAATATATCACTTCTACCATTTCACATTTAAATATTCCTTTGTCATTTCATGTTCTTTTTGATCCGCTAACTTACAGTTTGCCTTTAGCTGTTTCTAAATTTATTTATTACGCACTAGAATCCAGAAACAAATAGATTTTTTGTATTATAATATTATATGTAAACGAATTACAACAGAATTATTGATATATATTGCTCATATTCCTTTGATGTTTTATTCCTTTATGTTTAATTAGCCTGTGAGAGTCTTCTTAGACTTAAAATAAAATAGTATTAATTTGCTTGATATAGTCCGTCATGCTGTTGCATAATTTTATATATATTTTTTGTTTCTTAAATTTGTCACCACATGATTAATATGGTGTGTATTTGTTGATGCATTATTTTGTTATGATGTTGCTTTTTTCAAACTTGTTTATGTATACACTATATTTTTTGTATAATTATTAATTGATGTCAGTGTGTCATATTTGTATCACTTATTATTGTGTATTATCTTGTATCATGATGTATGTTGCCCAAAAAGGGGGAACAATACAAATATCTATCTATCTATCTATCTATCTATCTATCTATCTATCTATCTATCTATCTATCTATCTATCTATCTATCTATCTATCTATGTGTATATTTGTTTTCAATTTATAGATTCCCAGCTGTTCACTATATATTTCACCCCAACCCTACCCCCTCGAACGTAAACCTGGCGCCGCCACCCCTATTATAAGCTACTAGAGCCAGGTTCACTACTAGAACTGTGGACAGCTCTGAGCGTGGCACTAGACTTTGCCCTATGGCATCGGGATTTTTGGAACTTCTAGCTCCTGGGTCTGTGAACACAAAACTGAAACATTAAACCAATCGTGTAGGTTACAAAAGAAATCGAGCCCTTTGCGATTGCTTTTGCAAAAGACAGATTTAAGCTTCTGAACAATGCCTTAATTTAGACTCTTTATTCTAATGTATTATATTATTAGATCATTCGATATTTCAAGAAATATATTCCAGGAATAATTGTAGATTTGGTGCCAGTAGATATGTAACCACAGCGCTTACTGAAGTATAATTTCCACAAATAGAATAATTGGTCCTGTGGAAACTAGGTGTATACTGAGATTTTCTAAAAACAATTAAGTGTATAATATCACCAAATTGCTATATAATAATATTCAGTGAAACGTCAGTGGTTCTTAACATTTCTACCAAAACCAGCATATAGCAAATGTTTTATTTATTAACATCGCAAACAAAATGTTAGTCCAACTTATTCATAATAAGGTTGTAAAAGGTTACCTATTGTGAAAATTATATTATGTTGTTACTAACGTAATGAATTACTGTTTGTCGAGTAATGAGTATTAGGAAAACGTGTGTGTTAAAAAGTTACTGATAGATTAACAAGAGGGTTGTAGGTAGATTACAAATCAACGCTTCCAGAGTAATCATATTGTTGTCAGAGTACCTAGTATTGTAAAACATTTTTGGCATTTGGTCAGGTATTCCAGACCTCGGATATACCTTTAAAATATATTTCCAGACAACAGACTCCAAATAGAAATGATGAAGCGGAAAACTCCTAGTTGTCTTGCATTTGGTTTATTTTATTGGTTTCTAAAGCAACATTAATCCAGTTCAATATTTTGAATTTTAAAGAGTCACTGACATACTTACCTTTACAGACTAGTACATCGGTTTCCCATTTTCCTGATGCCAGACACGAGATCTCAGTTTTACCACTTACACGTACAAATCCGCCCATACATTTGAATTCTGCTTTATTTGGGAATGTATTATCAGGTGCGTTTCCGTATGAATAAAAACCATTTGGAATACTTCCACAATATTTCGCTGAAAACGAAGTAGAATATAAAGATAAGCACTAACGCGTGGCTATTGAAATGTAGTGCTAAGACTTTTTTTCTGAATGACAAGACTCACTGTCATACTTACGTTTACAGACTAGTACATCAGTTTCCCATTGTCCTGATGCCAGACACGAGATCTCAGTTTTACCACTTTCACGTTCATGGCCCTCATCACAAGTGTAGTTGGCAGTGTTGGGAAATGTGCTTCCACCATTAACTCTCCCCGTGGATAAAGTACCTGGCGGAAGATCTCCACAATCTTTCGCTGAAAACAAGGAGATATTTAGACATCAGAAAAACAATTCGTGATACAAGAAGAATGTATATAGCCTTGTTAAACTTGCCTAATCTTATTTTGGGTATGTGGTGTCACTTACCTTGCTCCAGTGGCGGTGTCTCCTCAATGAGAGTGGGCTACAAATAGGGGACAGACGTACTTAATGGAGTGACAGCGGCTTTCTTTCAAAAATGCGACAGCTCGGTTGAAGGGCCTAGAAAATTTTTTCACAACAAAATTCAAAGATATAGAATTGATTTGGTGTCGTCTGACATATTTTATGTCAAAATGCATAAAAACAATATCTCTAAAATTTTTTAAAATAAATAATGATATTCTAGCAAGAATGAGATTGACTATATACTTACCTTGACAAACTAGAATATTAGCAACATCCCACTGGCCTGATTCTAGACATTTAATACTGAAATCACCACTTGCTACTTCATGTCCTTCATCACAAGTGTAGTCTGCTTCGTTTGGGTATGTTGTACCACTTGCTGCAGTTCCTGTAGAAAAATTACCTGGTGGAACAGCTCCACAATCTTTAGCTGAAATAGAAGTAGAATATAATAATAAGCCTGGACTTTTATATACCTGAAGTTCAATTGAGAAGAACGAACAATATATCAAATCCAGCAAGAGTATTGATTGCAATTGCTATCAAGACGAGGCAATATTGGGATGATTATACAAATAACTGATATTGAGCTCTATCAACTGGTAAAGTAAATATTGAGATGACTATACAAATAGCTGATATTGGGCTCTATCAACTGGTAAAGTAAATATTGAGATGACTATACAAATAGATGATATTGGTCTCTATTAACCGGTAAAGTAAATATTGAAATGACTATACAAATATTTGATATTGGTCTCTATCAACTGGAAAAGTAGATATTGAGATGACTATACAGATAGCCGATATTGGTCTCTATCAACTGGTAAAGTAAATATTGAGATGACTATACAAATAGCTGATATTGGGCTCTATCAACTGGTAAAGTAGATATTGAGATGACTATAGAAATAGCTGATATTGGACTCTATCAACTGGTAAAGTAAATATTGAGATGACTATACAAATAGCTGATATTGGGCTCTATCAACTGGCAAAGTAGATATTGAGATGACTATACAAATAGCTGATATTGGGCTCTATCAACTGGTAAAGTAAATATTGAGATGACTATACATATAGCTGATATTGGGCTCTATCAACTGGAAAAGTAAATATTGAGATGACTATACATATAGCTGATATTGGGCTCTATCAACTGGTAAAGTAAATATTGAGATGACTATACATATAGCTGATATTAGGCTCTATCAACTGGTAAAGTAAATATTGAGATGACTATACAAATAGCTGATATTGGTCTCTATCAACTGGTAAAGTAAATATTGAGATGACTATACAGATAGCTAATATTGGTCTCTATCAACTGGTAAAGTAAATATTGAGATGACTATACAAATAGCTGATATTAGGCTCTATCAAGTGGTAAAGTAAATATTGAGATGACTATACAAATAGCTGATATTGTTCTCTATCAACTGGTAAAGTAGATATTGAGATGACTATACGAATAGATGATATTGGGCTCTATCAGCAGGTAAAGTAGATATTGAGATGACTATACAAATAGCAGATATTGGGCTCTATTAACTGGTAAAGTAGATATTGAGATGACTATACAAATAGATGATATTGGGCTCTATCAACTGGTAAAGTAAATATTGAGATGACTATACAAATAGCTGATATTGGGCTCTATTAACTGGTAAAGTAAATATTTAGATGACTATACTAATAGCTGATATTGGGCTCTATTAACTGGTAAAGTAGATATTGAGATGACTATACAAATAGATGATATTGGGCTCTATTAACTGGTAAAGTAGATATTGAGATGACTATACAAATAGATGATATTGGGCTCTATCAGCCGATAAAGTAGATATTGAGATGACTATACAAATAGCTGATATTGGGCTCTATTAACTGGTAAAGTAAATATTAAGATGACTATACAGATAGCTGATATTGGACTCTATCAACTGGTAAAGTAAATATTGAGATGACTATACAGATAGCTGATATTGGGCTCTATCAAGTGGTAAAGTAAATAATTGAGATGACTATACAGATAGCTGATATTAGGCTCTATCAACTGGTAAAGTAAATATTGAGATGACTGTATAGATAGCTGATATTGGTCTCTATCAACTGATAAAGTAAATATTGAGATGACTATACAGATAGCTGATATTGGACTCTATCAACTGGTAAAGTAAATATTGAGATGACTATACATATAGCTGATATTGGTCTCTATCAACTGGTAAAGTAAATATTGAGATGACTATACAGATAGCTGATATTGGACTCTATCAACTGGTAAAGTAAATATTAAGATGACTATACATATAGCTGATATTAGGCTCTATCAACTGGTAAAGTAAATATTGAGATGACTATACAGATAGCTAATATTGGTCTCTATCAACTGGTAAAGTAAATATTGAGATGACTATAC